GTATGGTATATGAATTCTATCCCAAAAGGACTGTTAACAAAATGCCTTAAAAATGATTCCAGGTGTGCAGGGAATAACCCATTCAAAAATTCTTTACATAAAAATGTATAACCTAAAGCAAAATAAGAAGAGAAAGAAAGAAAATGAGGCAAGAACTAAAAAGCAGAACTATATGTGAAAACTGAAAAGCTGAATGACTCACTCCATTGGCGAGGCAATAGAAACCAAATACTGCGTATACTGCTGGAGGGATATAAATTGGTACAACTGCCAAAAAGAGAAAAATCAATGAAATTACAAATGCTACCAAGGCATTTACTCTCTGACTCAGCAAGTCCATTTTAGGAAATTCATCCTATAGATATTCTCCAGTGAGAAATGATGGACCACAGCATTGCCTGTTACTAAAAACAACACTGGAAACAGCCCAAAAGCCCACCAGTAGGTGGCAGGGTCAATACGTTATGGTACATCCATACAATGAAACAATATAAAGCTGTGAATATAAAAATAAAGAAGGAATCTGACAATCTTCTGATATGGGAAGACTTCTAAACTATAATATATGATTAATTGTAAAAAAAAAAATCAAGGAACAAACAGGATATATAATAGATATGCTTGCCCTTTAAGTAAAAAGTGGGCAAAGACTATAGGTTTATATTTCCTTACATATGCATTCTGGAAAAATACATAAAAGTAAGAATAGCTGAATGGCACTGAGTGAAAACATAGCAGATGGGGGAATAGAAGTTTCAAGAGTGAAACTTTTCACTGTGTATCTTTTTAACTATTTGATTTTAAAATCTTATGAACAAACTACCTATTAAAAATTAAATAAAGCTGAAACCGGTTTGGCTCAGTGGATAGAGCGTCAGCCTGCGGACTGAAAGGTCCCAGGTTCGATTCTGGTCAAGGGCATGTACCTTGGTAGGGGGTGTGCAGGAGGCAGCTGGTCAATGTTTCTCTCTCATCGATGTTTCTAACTCTCTATCCCTCTTTCTTCCTTTCTGTAAAAAATCAATAAAACATATTTTAAAGAATTTAAATAAAACTTCATATGCTTAAAGGAAGAAGTTAAAGAGTAAAATGATATGATAGTTGGGTGGTGTCTGGATGAAACAGAAGGGTGGATGTTAATGTTAAATGTTGAAGCTGATCTGTGGGGGTTCATGGTATGTTTGGAATTTTTCATAACAAGTTATTAAATATTTAAAAGGTCTAAGGATAGAAACAATCTACTAAGACTATCGGTTAATAATACGGATTTTGTAATCAAAGAAAACACGATTATCTTTAGAGAAACATCAAAAGTAATGTCCATCACTAGCTACACGTTTCCCCTATCTTTCAGGTAATCTGTGGATACCGTCCCAATAGAACTTTCCTTGTTTTGAGGCAAACCACTCAGAGATCCAATTTTCTACTTCTTTGTATGTTTTGAAGTGCTGCTGAGAAAGTGCATGTGCTATTGATTGGAACAAGTGGTAATCTAAAGGAGTAAGGTCTGGTGAATACGGCGGTGGGTTAATACTTCCCAGATAAGATCTTTTAACATGTCTTTAACTGGTTTTGAAGTGAGTGACGGTGCATCATCATGAAGCAAAATTACTTTGCTGTGTCTTCTGGCACATTCTGGTCGTTGCACGATCAAAGTGTGGTTCAAACTGATTATTTTTTTGTTGGTATCAATCAGTATTAATGGTTCCACCTGGTTTTAGAAGCTCATAATATACCACACCTTTCTGATCCCACCAAAAGCAGAACATTGTCTTCTTTCTGAAGTGATTTGGCCTTGTAGTCGATGTTGATGGTTGACCTGGATCAACCCATGATTTTTGCATTTTGGATTCTCAAAATAAATCCACTTTTCATCACCAGTCACAATTCGATGCAAAAAAGACTTTCTTTCATGCCACTGAAGCAACATTTTACTGATGACTTTTCAGTTTTCTATTTGTCTTTTGTTCAGCTGATGTGGCACCCATTTTCCTTCCTTTAAAATCTTTCCCATTGCTTGTAAACAATTGGAAATTGTTTGCTGAGCAACGTTTAATCTTTCTGCAAGTTGTTTTTGAGTTTGACATGCATCTTCATCCAATAATGCTTGTAATTGTTGGTCTTCAAACTTTTTCGGTTGACCTGGATGTTCTTTGTCTTTTACATCAAATCCTCACTTTTAAAGCATTTAAACCAGGGTTCACAAATATCTTGAGATGGAGCATGCTCACCAAAAGCTTCCCCAAGTATTCAGAAGCACTTTTCTTTAAGATAAAGTAATGAATTAAAACTTCCTGCAAATGCTCTTTTTTTGGTACAAAATTTGACATTTCTAAGTGTAAGAATATCTATAATGTTAATACCTTCAGCAAATTTGACATAAGAAGTTTTGAAGCTTGTTGTCAATACAACAAAAGAGCTTACATATCAAATCACAAGGGTCCCAGGTTCGATTCCGTTCAAGAGTATGTACTTTGGTTGTGGGCACATCCCAAGTACGGGGTGTGCAGGAGGCAGCTGATTGATATCTCTCTCTCATTGATGTTTCTAACTCTCTATCCTTCTCCCTTCCTCTCTGTAAAAAAATCAATAAAATATATTTCTACACTTGATCTTAGCCAAAAGGCCGAGAAGCGATAATAAAATATATTTCTAAAATAAAAATAAAAGTAAGGGAATTGGGGCTACTAAGAGGTGATAGTGAGTCCTAGCATTAGACTCACTAACTTAAAAAGTCAGCTCTTCCAGGTTAGCTAGGCAAGCTATGTTACCTTCCAATGTCCTAATCCATAAAGTAGGTCTGTAATAATTAATGCTTACTGTATTGCCAGGCACTGTTCCAAGTTCTTCACATGCAGTAAGCCTCACAACTGTTCCATGGTGGGGGTTACCGCATTTCACACATAGGAACCTGGACACAGCGAGGTTAGGTGACGTGCCCATGGCCACACGGGTCACACATCTAGCAAGCAGCGGAGCAGGCAGTCTGATGTTGAGGGCCACGTGCTTAACCACTGCCTGGCACTACCTCCCAAAGACACCACTAACTGAGGTTATTATGAGAACAAAATAAAAACAATTCATACAAAGTACTAAAAAAAAAAATGCTAGCCAGGGAAGAAACCACTGTCTGATAGACTCAAATGGCTTGGGTTTGTCTAATTGTATTTGGAAGTGTTTGGAGGGTATAAAAAGCCAAGCCCGTGTAAGGAATAGTCTGTCAGAAAGGAAAGTGCCAAACCTACAGAGTAGCCATAAAGGAATCCCTTTTATGGTCTAGACTTGTGGTCGGTAAACTCATTAGTCAACAGAGCCAAATACCAACAGGACAATGATTGAAATTCCTTCTGAGAGCCAAATTTTTTTAACTTAAACTTCTTCTAATGCCACTTATTCAAAATAGGCTCGCCCAGGCCTTGGTATTTTGTGGAAGAGCCACACTCAAGGGTCCAAAGAGCCGCATGTGGCTCGTGAGCCGCAGTTTGCCGACCATGGGTCTAGACTTTAAGGGATGGAGAGAGGAGAGAAAAGTCAACGCAATTCCTCATGTGTACTAGAAGGGTCGCTAGGAGAGGTGGGGACGGGTCCTGGTCTCCCTGAGTTGCATCCTCACCAACTTAGCTGTCTGCACAGCTGGTACCTGGGGTCATCCAGTGGAGAGACGTGGGGAAGTCGGCGTGAAGTCCCACCCGTGGATTTGGGGACAAACCTCAAATACTTCTATGTAAAATTTAAAAATATCAAAACCTTACCAAAATAACAAAGACAAGCCCTCCAAAAAGAACCTCGCTGCCCAGCCGGCGTCGCTCAGTGGCTGAACTTTGACTTATGAAGCAGGAGGACACAGTTCGGTTCCCAGGGCACATGCCTGGGTTGCGGGCTCAGCTCCTTATAGGGGGCATGCAGGAGACAGCCAATCATGGACTCTCTCCCATCATTAATGTTTCTGTCTCTCTCTCCCTCTCCCCTCCTCTCTGAAATCAATAAAATATAGATATTCTCCACCCTCATTTTCAAGGGCTGGTAATTTTCTGAGACCGATACCATCTGGGTTGAGATCTTGTTCCCAGCCCAGAGGCGAGGTGTACAGGGAATTTTCCCCAGCCGGGCTGAGTGCCAGAAGGTGCTTCAGAAATCACATCCTTAATATGGATCTTTCTTTTAATTTTTTAAAATATATTTTTATTGATTTTTTACAGAGAGGAAGGGAGAGAGATAGAGAGCTAGAAGCGTCGTCAATGAGAGAGAAACACTGGCCAGCTGCCTCTTGCACACCCCCCTAGCGGGGATGTGCCTGCAACTAACGTACATGCCTCTGACCGGAATCGAACCTGGGACCTTTGAGCCAAACCGGTTTCAGCTAATATGGATCTTTCAATCACTCTCCACAACAGCATCTTGGGGACAATGAGAGCCTTACTATTTTTATAACCTTTTCATTTGCTTCCGTGAGTTTAAAATCAACAGTGAAACCCAAGGGCAAAGCCTATTCCCAAGTCTTGTTGTCTCAGCTCCTCTGGGGAGGCACCAAAGACATGGATGACCTGGAGTCTGCCCTGCAGAATGCTCCCAGGGCCAGGGGTTCAACACTGATGTCTTGGGACAGTTTTCTGTCCCCTCCTCTTCCTCTAACCCATAACCCCTCCTTTTATTTGCCTGCAGGGCAATCCAAGATGTTGGCTTCCTGAGACAACGGATACTTCTCCTGGGAGAATTGAATTAGGCAGAAGGTCTGCCTCCCAGGAACCTTGCAAAGATCGGGGAGATGGTGTGGGACAAGGCGCAAACATGAGCATCTGATGATAAAGCTGCACACCTAGGTACGCAGCAGTAACCAGTGTGAAAGAAAAGAGCCACATGCTAACCTGACAGGCTCAGGGAAGGCCTGCATGGCAGTCTTGCAAACTCAGAGACCTAAAATAACCACAAAAGATGGTTTGAAAATTTAATATCTAACTACAAACAGGTTATAGTGGGTAGTCATGTCCCAGATATTTCACCTGACAAAGATTAACTTCGATCTTTATTGAGCCCATCTGCCCTTCCAGCCTCTAAGATAGCTTATCTGTGAGATGTCTGGGTAACTTGTAACTTCCTTTTTACCCCGGACCCCTCAGAGCACAACAAATGGCCTCGAGACATTCCCTCATTGTTATTGTTATCAAGTTAATTGCCAACTGTTAATACATTAGAGCACATGTGTCAAACACAAGGCCCGAGGGCCAAATCCGTCCCGCCAGGCCTTGCAATGTGGCGCTGTCATCACTGCACTCCGCTGCATTTCCTCACAATGACAGTTTATGACTGTTCAGTAAACCATTCGGCCTGCGATTTAGGCTGGATTCTAGATTTTGGCCCCTTCTCTGATTGAGTTGACACCCCTACATTAGAGTATCCTGTCTCTCCCCCCCCCCTTCCGCTCTGTCGCACCTCCCTAATCTATCACCAGTGAATTTCATGTAACTCACCTACGTCCCTTTCCTTTGATTGCAATGTATAAATATAGAAATGTAACCCGCCATTCTCCGGAGCATTATCTCAATCCGTTAAGGTTCTGCTTCCCGGCAGACGTGGACAGTTTGGCTCAAATAAACTCACAAAAATTCTTTACAGGTTTCAATGTTTTTTTTTCCGTTAACACCGGCATTGTGTCACTGTCTCTTGCTTTTAAGAATCTTACACATTAGGTCACTGACACTGACCAACAAAGCACATTTGTTAACTATGAAACAATTTCTACCAGGGGCACAAACAACAGAAGCCCAGCACCCACTTCCCCCTGCAAAGAGGACTCTGGTTTCCTTTTAGGGAATTCTCTCTCTCTTTAAATCTTTATTGTGGAAAGTATAGATGACCTCCTCCCCCCCATTAACTCTTCCAGGCCACTGCCATCCCCTCCCCCCCAGGCCCTCACCACCCACGGGTTATGCATATAAGCCTACAAGTTCATGGATTGATCTCTTCCCACCCATCCTCCCCTGCTTTCCCTCTGAGGTTCAACAGTCTGTCCATGCTTTTTATGTCTCTGGGTCTATTTTTTGACATCAGTTTATTTGGTTCATCAGATTCCACACATGAGTGAGACCATGTGATACTTATCTTTCTCTGACTGGCTTATTTCGCTCAGCATAATGCTCTCCAGTTCCATCCATGCTATTGCCAATGGTAAGAGTTCTTTCTTTTTTATTCCACTGTGTAGATGTACCACAGTTTTTTCTATCCACTCATCTGCTGATGGGCATTCAAGCTGTTTCCAAATCTTAGCTATTGTAAATTGCACTGCTGCTATGAACATAGGAATACATGTGTTCTTTCTGATGAGTGTTTCGGGTTTCTTAGGATATAGCCCAAGAAGTGGGATCACTGGGTCAAATGATCTCTAAGAGCGACCTCATGGGGTGGGAAGGGGATGTAAATCTAAAGGACTCACCTCTCTCACCACCAACATCACCACGACCTTGCAGGTCCCTTTAAAGACTTCCCACTTCTTCCCACCAAACGACAACCACAGGAGTTAAGCTGGGCCAACCAGGCCTTCCCAGGCCTTGAGCTTGAGACCAGCAACAGAACGATAGTGCCTACGCCTTCTAGCAAAGTGAAGCTTTCAGAGGTCTTGACCACCTGACCCAGCTGGTTCCCAGCCTCCCAGGACCCTAGCCATTCAGCCCCCTAACACTCATGTTTGCCATGCTAACGCCAAAACGGTGGTCTCTTCAAAGCAATGACTTCCTACAGGCTCAGCCGTTCTCAGCCTCTCCAAAGCCTCAGCCTCCCTCACAGGCCCCCAAGGGAAAACAAAGGCCTCTGTCCACTGCTGACCTGGGCTTTTTATCCAGGAAAAAAGCCCATGTCAACATCAGACCCAAACACGAGCATGGGTCACACCACGCTCCCTGCCTCTGGGTGCCGACTTTCCCAGACCCTGGGTGAGTTTTAAGTTTCTGATGCTACAGAAATGGACTGATTTTTCAATCCACAAACGTCTGGGTGGATGGAAACCTACAGAAACGCTCTGGTCCTTGAGGACGTACCGGTGAGGTCCCCTGAATTTCATGATCTCCGAGTGACCCCAGGTGGGGAACTCGTGAGGTCTGGAGGGCCAGGCGAGGCGCTCTCTCAGTGAGGAGGCACCGAGGCAGGGCCGGCCCCTGGAGAGGTGTGGTCCCGTGGGCCCAACATGTCAGTGTGAGTTGGGTTTGGTAGCCTCTCCACTTACTTCATTCACCACCGATTGCGTCAGCGGCTTCTTCGCAGCTGGCTCGCAACTCTTTCTGATTGCGTAACGGTTTGCCCTAATGCAGAACAAATGTCCCGAGCTTTTCCAAAGAGGAAGCAGGGCAGGGTGGGCAGCGCTGTGGCTGGGAGGCCTGGATCCCAGCCCTCATCTGCCCAAACAAGAACCCAGCTGTGTGACCCTTTCCCAGTCCTTTCCTCCCTTTAAGGCAGGCCACTAGGCGGCCTTCGGGCTATTTCCTCTGACTCTCCAGGCCCTTCTCCCAGTCCCCAGGGAAGCAGGGTGTGGGGGCTGGGAGAGGCGGTGGCGGGAGCCTTGGCCAGTGTGCTTTGGACCTGCAGGGTCACTGATCCCAAGAAACATTTTGGTTCCTCAGCACCACAGTCTTTGAGGACTCGGGAGGAATCAGGGACAATTCAGAGTTCCTGATCTATGAAGGGCCTTCCCCGAGTCCTCAGAATTAGTCACTCAACACCCAGATATGGATCAGCTGGAGAATTTTCTAGTGAGATTTGGGCCCCGCAGTTAGGATTTTCAGTTAGTGTATCTCCCTTAGAGGCAGCTGCACCATCTCATTCTGATGGGACCGCCGTTTTGGAGTTAGCAGATCTGAGCACAAGAGGTAGTGTAGCTCAAGAGAAAAAAAAAAAAAACTGTGGAGGTCGGAAAGGCAAGGTCTGTATTGGCTCTGCTGCTGCTGACCAGATTGCTGTTCACCATCAGGCAAGTCACTTAACCTCTCTGAGTCGTTTTCCTCAACAGCAAAATGAAAGAATTGGACTTCTATTCACTTATTTATTATGTATTTCCTGTATCATTAAACACGAGGAGACAAGACATTCAGAGTTTTGGAAAAGAGGGACGGGATACCCCCAGCACCAGTGAGGGACCCCAGGATCCCGGAACAGTTGTAATTAATTGCCCTGCTGAATTTCCAGCTGCACCAAAATGGAAGCACCATGAGCTGCTCAGTTCTCACTGTTCACCGAAAGAAAGTTTACCCATCAGTCAGGAGAGAGAGGCTTCTTTTCTGCATTCAGTTCTATTAAATACAATCGTCTCAAACTTTCATTCAGACAGGGAACCTTTACTGAGCATCTGGGAGAGGACCCTGCCCCGTGCCTGCAGCAGCAACCAGCCCGAGGCCCAGGTAGGGACGGAGGCCCCAGTAGAGATGGTGATTTTATCTCGGGGATTCTCACATAGCTGAATAAGACAATGGTGACAGTACAAAGAGGCTGAAAGGGGCTCTAGCAGTGAGGGTGTGGCAGCAGAGCTGTGAATCTACAAAGACTTTCCAACAGCGAGCAACATCACCAATCACTGACGGGTATGCCAGTGGCCTGGTTCATGTGGGGACTTGATCTGGAAAACCAGGAGTGTGAGCGACTCACAGATCCTGGAGACTCTCTCAATTACTAATCAACTCATCCAGCTTTTGACGGGAGTCAGATACTGGTCAAGAGATGCTGAGCAACCTGCAGCAGGTCTGGTCCTAGTGCCCTGTGCTTTTGACTGGAGAAAGAGCAAGTCACATAAACTGATGAAAAAAAAAAAAAAAAAGATCCAGAGACAGAGAAACATAGGACAGACAGTCAAATTTCAGAGGGAAGGCAGGGGAGGGAATGGGGGTTAAAAGATCAACCAAAGGACATGTATGCATGCATATAAGCATAACCAATGGACACAGATACTAGGGGGGTGAGGGCATGTGCGGGAGGGAGGGAGGGGGGAAGAGGGGATGTAAGGGGAGGGAGGTGGCCAGGGAGAGGTCAATGGGGGGAAAAGGAGACATATGTAATACTTTAAACAGTAAAGAATTTTTTTAAAAAAATTTAATACCTAAAATAAGAAATAAAAAAAGAGCAAATCATGTTGCAGTGGCAGTCAGTGACTTTCTTTCTTATTAAAACTTTCACATCTCACTATAAACATTTTCAAATGTGCTGAAAGCCTTAAAGAATTATATAGTAACCACCAAATATCCACCATCTATATTCTACCATTAGCGTTTTTGCTGTATTCGCTTTATCATGTATCTATCCTTCTATCCACTCTTTCATTCATCAATTAATCAATCCCTCTTAGTTTTTTTGGTGTATTTAAAAGAAAGCTGCAGACCTCAGTATACTTCACCCCTAAATACTTCAACATGCATATCGTTAACTAGAGTTCAAAATTTGTTTTGGCAAGATATATTGATCTTAAGAGTGCCTTTAGATGAATTCTGATAAATGCATACATCTGTTAACCTAAATCCCTCCCAAGAAACAGAACATAAATATCACTCCAGAGTTCCCTCGTCCTCCCCTTTGTAAGGCACTCTGCCCATGCTCCACCCACACATCCCCTGCTGCCCTAATCTGTGTTCTGTGCCCTGTGATCCTGGTCACTTTGCCACAGCTGGACCAGAGTGGACACCTGATCCTAAAGTGGTCATCCAGGTGTTGGCCAGTGGACCTTTAACTTCTGTGCCAGGCTCAGTAGGATGAGCTGGGCAGTCAGAGTCTCTCTCGGGAGGGGGGAAATGGAGAGACTGCCTGGCTGGGCAAGGACCCTGAGCTGATGGCCATGAGGCAGATCTGGGGTTGGGTCACCATGATCTCGCACCATGTGCAAAAGTACAGGGAAGCCAGAGCTAGTGGGGAACGTGAGGTGACTGACACACAGAGCCTCTGTGTGAGGGACATGCCCCTGGGGGAGGGACGGGAAAGACGGCCTCAGTTTCCTTTCTTTGCAGCTGCAGGCCCAGGCCCCTCCTCTGAGCAACTGCCACAGCCCCCCTAAAATGCAAATGCACATGCTGGTCCATAGGACAGTTGCTATGAAAATTAAAGAATCTTTCTTAAGTGGGAAAGTGGGATGAAGTGGGATGGCACTGCTCTGCTCCCTGTGGCTGCAGAGCAGGCACCTCCCCTGAGGAAGCACAGTGGGTGCTGCGATGG